CTGACGGCGAATTCTGTGTATCGGCTAACTGTCCGTGTTGGCCAAATGTCCTGTCGGGTAAGTGTCCTTGTCGGCTAATTGGTGTCGGTTAAGTGTCCCGTCGGCTAAGTGTCTGCGACCATCCTAAACCATCACACCAGGCGCAGGGCACCTATACTGATATCAAATGCAAGCAGGTGACATGCGGTCTCCTCGGACACTCCAGACACATATACGACAATCAGAATACTGCATGTAGAACCGGGGCTCATTTGAAAATGGAACATTGTGCCACTCCTGTACCCAGCTTTGTCGTTTGGTGCACTAGAGTCGCCATTTCTCTCTACGTTACATTGTCAAGGGAAACTGAACTAATAGTCCACGCTGTGTAAACATTGACGCACCTTACGAGCTGATACTGGGCGTGCTGCAAATACGCCCATTTCCTGACTAATGCTCCGTGATGTGGCAGTACAGTTTTGCAGGGCTGACCTCACAATATGTCTTTCCCCTCTGGTGTTAGTCATGGGAAGGTGTTGAGATTCAGCATGCTGTTTAGTATGACCCTCAGCAATCCATTGCTTCCATATTCCCATGACAGTGGTTGGATGTCAACCAGTGCGAAAACATGGAACGATAATCTACACTTTCGATAGGCAACAATTCTGCATCTATCGAGTTTTGAAACTTGCTGGTAAGCATTTCCTCTTCTTAGTTGAGGCATAACACGATATTCTGAGCAAACTCCAACCTTACAAAGCGCTCTCCGAATGATAAATCCACTACACAACTTTTCTTTTATGCAGTGCTTCAGATGTCATTTCTCTCTCCTGCATCATCTAAATGTGCTGAAATACTAATCATGTGCATATATATGCCACAATCTTCTTCCTTTCATGTGATTTTGACATTCATCACATCATTTCTTCCTGGTGCTGCAATTTTAATGGCCAGAAGTAAAATTACATTCCTTATCTAAATACAGGATACTTACATATCACCCAGTCAACCATAAAACTGTTTCCAAAAAGCACTATTTAGTGCTAGCTATTGATAAGCGTGACATAACGACGCATTCAAAAATCTGTGCTTTCATTTTAAGGAACTCCAATTGATTCTTGATAGCAATTACTTTGTTTTCATAAGCAAGGATATAAATTAACTGATACTGTATTTCAATGTAAATTCTATTATGTTCCTCCATAATGGTCTAATTTAAAAAAAAAAAAAAAAAAAAAAAAAAGACGGTATTTGAGATGTGTGTGAATGCTTATACAGTGTAAAGTCCGTAATCCGGACTCGTCGGGACTTTGGCAATTCCGGATTAATGGTTTTTCGGGATTATAGATCACCAATTTAAATCTGGTAAGATGGCATGCAGAAATTATACAATTAAAAATATTAAACCATAATTTATGAAATAAGAGCAATTACGATCTAAATGGTATAAAATTTACAAAAAAAAAAAAAAAAAAAAAAAAAAAAAAAAAAAAAAAAAAAAAAGCTTAATATTTATTTGTTTATTTTACTAAACAGCAGCTATACATCTGCTGTTGCATAACTTACAGCACACAGAATTAATGCAAATAGTGTTGAAGTCTGTTATGTTATGAATGGAAAAAATCAAAACTACAAAGATAAGATGAAAGTTTCAAACATTTTTTATATCTTCCTATTTATATAATTTCAATATGATTTTTAAGACTTATATATTTATAAAAGTGACATTCTTTCTGAACAGTCCTACATAAATTTGAACAAGTGCACACTGAAAAGTAATCATGGCCACAAATTACATAATACAGTACAAAGTCTTTAATCCAGATGTCCATACTTTATAATGACGGAATGATCTATAATCTGGACCTCAAAGCTACAAACTTTTTGTGCATGCGTAGACGTTTATGTATAACGGACAGTATAAGCTAGGCTAAAATTATCTAATTATTTATTTCAGTTAATGTTGCAGATTGCATTGTTCCTTAATCTTCTAATTGGATCTGGCTTATTATTTTTTGCAGACTGTTAGAGCAATTTTATAAAAAGTAAGCTTGAACTTTCGATTATGTCAAAAAGAGTTTCCAATTCTGGAGCTGTCAAAGGCTCTACAATGCGAAATCATGTTTCGATGTCCATCAAACAAAAAGTGGAATTGCTGCAAAAAATTGATAAAGGCATAAAGAAAGTGACAAAGAGGTTAGTGAAAATGAAATAATTTCGATTGGCAAGTTAGACGGTATTCTCAGCATAACAATTACAGGACTTGAACAGCGGAACTTTGTAACTGAACAAGAATTGATGTCTGTTTATAGAATTAAAGAGAAAGTATTAGCACATAAAACAAAGCAACTTAAACAACTTACATTGAAAGAAATGTTTAATAAAGTAAACAAATAAATATTAAGCCTTTTTTTTTTTTTGTAAATTTTGATACCCTTTATATCATAATTGCTCTTTATTTCATAAATTACGGTTTCCTATTTTTAATTTTATAATTTCTGCATGTCATCTTAATGGATTTAATTGATGATATATAATCCGGAGAAACCCCTAATCCAGAATCGCCGAAGTCCCGATGAGTCTGGATTAAAGACTTTGTATTGTATTTAATAAACTACAAATTTCTTAAAAAATTTATGGACCAGGTTTATGGACCATTTTAGAAAGTCACCCTTCCCTCTTGCTGATATTCTGACATAGAACTCAACCAAAGAGAACATCCTTAAAGTGTATCTTTACAATGACTAAAATGTATCATTACACTGTTTGAATTAAATATTCAAAGCTTTATTGCTCCTGGAATATGGGGGAAAAAAAAAAAAATCAACTTGATATTTCAGATTCTAAATTAAATTCTTATCCACTTTATTAAGTAGGTTTATATCCTGCTTGATAAAATGAATGAACATTTCATGCTAGTTTTCATTAATATTTTTAACTTTTTACTTTACTCAGTACATTAAATTTGCTTCAAAATATATATTGCTAGACCCTAAAAACTTAAACTGCTAAATGATGATGGGAGCAACAAACCTGAAATTTGCTAAACATGCTGGGATATACAAATGATTAGTATTTCATGGCATGTGCACATTTTAAGCATAAGTGATGATACCATAAAGTAATATAAAAAGACAGAACTGAAATGCTTATGAGAATTTATAAATGATGAGTCCAGGAGACCAAATAGAACAATATGCAAGATCTCAATGTCAAAAAAATGGCAGAAAAGTGGCCAATGCTTCCATTTCACTTGGCATTACAACACAGAAATGAATCCCTATACATTTAGTTATGCATATGGAAGCATCATTGGCTAACATTTTTTCTGATAAATCCCACTTTTGCTTATAGCATCTTGATACTGGTATACATATGAAGAGGCACTGAGAGGAAGCTTCCATTTCTTTATTACCATACTAGATTAGCACTTGGATTGATTGTATGAGATACCAATGGATTTACATCCTGTTTGTTAGTTCACAACTCCAGTGTTTTGACCAGCCACTATTATGTTATTGAGGTTTTAAAGCTTATAGTTGAACCATAACTGGGACTTCCATTGCCCCATCTTTCACACGAGAGTGCAAGACTATAAGATGCTCTCATTGCTCTAAATATACAGTGTTTGACCTCAGCCTTTGCTGAGGCTGATTCGCCACATTTCTCATCATTTGAAAATGGCTGATGAGTGGCTAAAAAAAGCCTATCTTAAAAACACCTGCCAGCCAATACATCACATGAAGTTTAGTAATTAAACAAAGCTGCATGGACTGCAATAGCCATAACTGTTAATTAAAGTCCAGACACCTTCCCGTTTCACCACTATCTATGCTTTATTAAAAAAAAAAAAAAAAAAAAAAAAAAAAAAAAAAAAAAAAAAAGTGTTAAATTTTCAATAGACTTAAGTTTTTAAAATACTGTTTTCCAGCTTCTCAAAAAAAAAAAAAAAAAAAAAAAAAAAAAAAAAAAATAATTTGAATAACAAAGATTGAATGGAAAGTCTATGATTTTCCGTTTAGAAGTAAGATCAGGGAAAGTTATCCTTCCCCAGCAAACAAGTGGCGGGAAAACACTCCGAAGGTTATGTGATACCTTCAAGTTGTAAAGTATTTGTTCTTTTACAGCTTTGAATAGTCCTCCATATCCTGTCCCCCTTTCCCTCTAGCTATCAAGCTTAATGTCACTAAAAGCTCCTTCATTTCAGACCAAGCATCTAAAAGCATAATGGTTAAAAAAAAATAAGTATTAAAAAGATTATGTTGGGGATATTTAATTTTGAGATTTGCTACTTATTATCTATATATTGTACATAAGAGGGAATGAAACACAGTAAAATAATTTTGGGTGATTGTGTTTTACATTAATTTCGAATTTCAGTAATGTTCATAAATATAGCAAAAATATTAAATTTTTTGGAATGATACAGAGACCATGTCAACTTTGATGTTTTCAATGCAATGAATTTTATTTTCTTATGTATCTAGCAATTTAAATTCTTGTTATTCAAAATGATTTTAAAGGTTGTTAAATATGCAAATAGTTCATTCACTGCCAAATATTATTCCAAAATATTTAATTTAATTAATTTATTTATTTTGTGCGTGTTTGGAACAAATAATCAGATAATTACCGATTAAAAGGAAGTATAAAACAAGGGAATTTAATAGAATGCAAAAAGTACATAGCCAATTATGGGCTTTATTTTGCAAAAATCAATGTACTACACCATAATACGTTTATCAAAAATTATTTCATTTTACTTTTTGATCGTAATGCAAAACAGAACAAAAATTTACTATTGATATTAAAAGGTATCACTATTGTTCTCAGAAGGGAATGCGAAAATATCGTTTATGTTTTCCTGGTTAATTTATATTACATATTATAGTTTAGATTCATTACTTAAAATTTAAAAATTGAAAGCTATTCATTTTTAAATTCTACAGTGTAAAAAATCGAATTTTGCAAAAACGCTTAAAACTGTTTTTTTTGGGGGGGGGACAAAGTAACGGATTAGATCTAACGTCTTCTAAATTTGGACATTTTCTAAAGAAGTGAACTCTACCAAAAACATTTCTGTTTTGGAAAAAGGTAAGTAATCACCCCCTCCTCATTTGAAAATTCTGGCTATTATAATAAATACAATAACTTTTTATAGTATTCAAAATTCACACAGTATGTGTAATTGTGAATTTAAATGTATTTATCTAAACTGAAAATTTTTGTAAGGGTTAAATTTGCTCAATTTTTAATTACCTGCAGTTATGAATTGTACTCAATACATTAGTTTTATTTGCAATAATTTTAATTTTATATAACTATATGTTTCAGAGATATTATCATACAGATAGTTAATGCTTCCAAGTTGCGCAATTAGAGGAAATAATTTTATTAACAAAATAATTTCTTTAATGTAATTCTTATTTGAAGTTTTTCTTCAAACAGCAACACTAATCATAAAGGAATGACTAGATAAATATTTGCTAAGAATGTCTCAACTTTTTCACAAGAGTTAGTGATGGGAGAAAATGTACAAAGCCTTCTTTCTAACTCTTTTACATTGAAGAATCAAGTGTAACAAAGTTAATCTGTGTTGCTTCTGTTAATTAAAAGGACAGAGTCAATATGTAATTTGAACATTTTACTTGTGAACTTTAACACAAGTAAAATTATCTTTGTTTGACTTGTGTTTACTTGATCACATTTTAATTTGTGAAAAAGTTTAAATGTGATCGAGCATATGTAAAGTGTTATAAAAGCTTTCTCAAAATCCTAATCCAAAAACTCAGAATTAAAATAAAAGTTTAAAAATAATTTTATACTTAAATGATAATCCCAATGACATAAAAGTAAAATAATAAAAAATAATAGAAGGCACTTTTTTTAAAAGATATCATTACTATATATACATATTCGAATATTATTTATCAAGAGGAAAATATATGTTCCATCTTCTGTTTTAAAAATGAATTAAATACAAGGAATCCTCTTATGGTGACTATCTTCCTTAGAAGACCATTTTAGAAAAGTGATCGGTATTTCCGAGAACAGCGACCATTTGCTTAGAAGATCAAAATTGTCTGGAATAAAAGATTCGTCATTTTAAAAATTCATAGTATTTAATATGTTCAAATTTCACAAAGATAAAATAATTAAATTTTATATTCAAATTAATAAATTCCAATAAATCATTTAAATGAAGACTGCTAAGAAAAAAATTGTAAATCTCTGAGGGTATTGACTAGAACATAAAAAGCGCAAAATCCATTCTGTAGCTCAGCAGTCATTAACTCTTATCTTCCAGATAAAGCACTGTCTGAAATCCAATTTCATTTGAATTCAAATTATTGTTTTAAATTAAAAATATTATTACTTATATTGAGATAAAAAATGTGAAATGAATATTTCATAAGTTTTAAATACTGTTTTCAGTATTTTTCTTATGCTATTATGAATTTGCTCTTCTGCGTAATATTATTAAATGGCTAAGTTTAAATACGAGTCTATTTGTACCATACGTAGTGTCTTACATTTTCATGGTTAATAAATTTGCGTGTTTGGTTACATTAAACTCTTTGATCAAGTCTCTCTCCAAAGCAAGGCATTCTTTTTCTTAGATAGCTTTTAATTATTTCTAAAGAAAAACTGCAAAAAACACAGCATATATTGTTATGCACTAACCTCATTCTGCATCATACTTTGTAAATAAAATAATTATTTACAGTCTTTTCGAGAATTACAATTAAGATTAATAATTTAAGTAATCTGGTTTTAGATGTATTATGTGAAATATTTTAAAACGTACATGAAAGAGAATTTCTGAAGTTCTTAAATAGTACATAAGACTTAGTAGCTAGAAATTCAAAATGCTAAAGAGTCTGAAATTGTTGAAAATTTATAAATTTTTCATATTAAATAGGCTTTTAAATAAGTTTTTGATTAATTACTAAATCAGAAACACTAAATAATGTATTTAAATAAAAGCAATACAATTCGGGAGTATTCCATCAATTAATAGTGCAAAAGAAATCACAAAAAATAAATAAATGCTTGTGTTTCAAACACATTACGTACTTCAAAAAATTGCAGGAGGGGGGGAAAATAAATGTTTGTTTTTCAAACACGTATGTAGTTTGGAAAATAGTGATGCGTCATTAAAAAAAAAATAATAAAAATTAACAATCTATTTATATAAAACATGCAACTCCTGTTTTCTAGTACGCACTGCATTTTACTTTTGTATTACTTAATAAAAACAGAGTTCAAGCTTCACCCGCTCTGAATTTCATTATGAATGATTTTATGCTCATGAATAAAATTGCTGAATACTAATAATACAAACAGAGTTAAAATTCTGAGGAACAAGGTGGCCGAGGCATGGGTTTTCCATAGTTTTCTCCATGCACAATGTGAATACGATCCAGTTTCTATTAGAAAATCCTCCATGAACATATCCTCTTTAGGCAGTTAACCCTGAGATGTTTTTACCGTAATCAAATAGCCTTACCCAAACTTTTAGATTCATAGCTTTGTTGAGAACTGATTTTATGTCTTTTTTTAAAGACCTTCGTGGAAAATTTTGTTCTAGTATTACAGTTGATGAAGTCACTTCAAATAATGCGGAAACAATATCACTATGTATAGGATTTATTGACAGTCAAAAAGCATTAGAGAGGAGTTCCTAGATTTTCTCAGACTAGATAGGATTATAGGGAAATTTATGTCTTCCTCTATAATTTCAAAATTTGGATTAGATGCTAGTAACATTAGAGGTCATAATTATGAAGGAGCAGGTAACATGTGATAAAAAAACTGAAGCTCTCATTAAAGCTTTCACTCCAAAAGCAATCTGTGTGCACTGCACTTGTCATTGCCTGTATCTTGTAATCATGCATTCATGCAAAATTCCTGAAATTCACAATATGCTGAACCAAATGAAAAATGTTTATTTATTTATTTTTTTAAACAGTTCTAAATGAAATTATCTTCTTACTCAAATTGTCAATCAGAATGCAAAAGATGATTTAGGTTGACAAAAAATAATGCTAGACCTTTGTGGAATAAGAAAGGTCATGCAGCATAAGGTGTAACTGCATTTTTATCACAATTTTTTCAATATCATTGAAGCCCTAGAGCACATTGTGTATTCAACCAAACCAGATGCTTGTGTGCATAATCAATGGAGTGTGCAATGTAAGCAAGACATTATGGTTCTGCTAAATTCAATCATTTCATCGGCTTTCACTGCAACATACATAATGTATCATTATCTATCTCATTTAGAAGGAATTATAGTTAAACTTCAGGGACGAGCTGTTGATATCATGGAAGCCTATGACATGGTACAGGAAATAATTGAGTTTTATATTTCTGAGCATTAAAATTAAATTGAGTTTTATATTTCTGAGCATTAAAATGTAGAAAAGAGTTGTTGTTACATATAGCTTTACTGGCAGGATCAATCCAAACATACAAAACGGCTCAAGTATCACACAAGAACAATGATAAATAATAAAAAGGGACAAACATTTATAAAGTAAGAATGGGAATAAATGAACATGGGAACAAAAGTAAAAAGTTAAAAATTTTAATTTGTTAGGCGCTTTTTACAAGAGTAAGAAGAATTGGATTTTCTTTGACTTTTTAAGTGAAAATAGGTCAATGTGTACATGGATAAAGTCAAGGGAGTGCGCAATGCCATTTTCGTGCAATTCTGGGATGGTTTTTTCAAGTGAAAATAGGTCGATGTGTACATGGATACCGAGTATATGCAATTCTTAAAAACGTGTCAAGCAGTGGGTTATTCTGCACTTTCCCCCATAAAAGTATTTAATCTTTCATCATTCAACACTCAAATTATCAAAATCCACTTTTTTATTTCTCTTTTGATGTAATTAAGAATAGAAAATCTTTAATCTTTCATTCAATGCATGTAGCACACACATTCATATTAAATATGTTATGCTACAAATATCTTATTTATTAACCTTTCAACTACTCTTAAAAATTAAACTATTCCAAAAACTATATGAAAAAATTTTACCTTTTTGCTCCCCAAAATCACATACTTAATGTAATATTTGTTGGATAATTATTGACATGAATATTTAATGTAAAGCTTCAATATAAAAGTGCCCTAAATAAAGTATAGTGAAATTGTGAATATCTCTTTATGTTATCTTTAATATAAAATCTATAACTTCCATCTTTTATAAATTAATAAAAATTCTTAAGTAATAAAAGATACAAGATAAAGACAAAATAAGCTGAAGTGCAAATTAAAGAGATAGAAATTAAGGAAATGAAATATATAAATACAATAACAGTTATTTTTTATTTTTCAGCTATTATATTCAAAATCATCACACTTTTAAAACTGTATAATTTTTACTCAAAAAACTGCATCAAGTTACATATATTTCTATTTAAAATCTTGGCAAAACTCCTCTAATATTTTTTTAAAAAATTCATCAGAACATAGTGCTGAAGAGAAAAGTTTAATTTTAAAATGCAGTAAATTACAAAAATAAATAAATAAAAAATTATGTTGTTCAATTTTAATCCCATTTTTTAATTCCGTGGATATAGCAGTAAATTTACTTTTTATTTTATAAATTTTAACTTTTTTGGAGTAATACATATATTTTTTACAGAATATATCTAAATGTACAAAATAATTATCACTTCTGAAATACATATTTTTGTATAAAATACATCATTTATATTAAAAATCTGAAAGTACTGTATCACGATTTTTTACTCACATTGCAAAAGAAAAAATGAAAAATGAAACTCCGATGATACTTCTAGTAAGAGTATGTTATGATCGACACTCCGAACAAAATTTGTAGCTCTGTCCACCAGTTGGCATTAGTGGTGGCCAGGTTACCTTTGTTCTGATGCCGCAGAGCCAATAGCCAATCACGGCCAGCGTCACAGCAAGGGCGATGCCTCATCACACATGACTCACCTCCGCTCACTCCCCTCCCATCCCGGCGTCCTGCTTTTGAATCGGGAGCAGACTGAATCGATAGAGCTCTCATCTTTACAGTATTTGTCTAAAAAATACCCTCAGAATTCTTCAAAGTCTTCCTCTGCTAGAAGGCTAAGTGTGCGATGATCATCATGAAAATTATTCCTGGTTATTCTAGTGAACAAATTGTGAAGTGCTTCTAAATTCAAGAACAGAGAGAAGATATCGCTGGCATCCATGTTGACAAGAACTGGGCTCGCCCGGTCACAGTCAGCTGGCGTCGCTTGCGCTCTAACGTTGTCTGGGTTGTTTGCAATGCCCGTTAGTTTTGTGCTTCGCCATAATAAATGAACAAATTACTGGCCTTCATTATTTCGAGATCATAGTTTTCAAGAACTAAGGGATTACCTTATGCCTGCATTTGAATATTTCCGTTGTGGAACTATGTGTTTATTTGTGATGGTGCGATAAGAGATGATATTTTCCAGCAAGAGAGGAGATCCTAGTGTCATTGGAAGAAAGTGTTTTCAGAGATTTTGCGGCAAGCTTTGATGCTTACGTATTGTCTGTTGTGAACAGAGGTGACTAGTCATGGAGATCCTTTTGTTTCTATGATAAATAGTGTTTTTTTTTTTTTTTTTTTTTTTTTTTTTTTTTTCCTAGACTGACTCTGAGCCATGCAAAGATCCTGACGTCTGAAAGTGCAAATCGGCAGTCAAGAGATTGGCATGGCCTCCGGCGTGTCTGTGTTTTGAAGTCTGAGGATATCGATCGGATCTCGAGCTTCTGTCCGTAACTGAAACCTGAAATTATCATCTCTGTTTTAATGCTCAAGTTTATAGCAACTTGAAGCTATTGGCTATTTTTCTAAGACCTGAGATGTTTTGTTCGGCGATTATAAAAGTTAGGTCGCAATTAGTTGGTGTGTGATTATAGTGAAACTTAATACGGGAAACATAGGACGGCCCCCCATGAACAAGCCGGACATCCCTGTTACTGGAGGCCAGCTGATTGACTGGGCCAAGGAACAACAGCAGCTGCTCTACCTGGACAACGCACGAGGAGAACGTAAGTACATATTTAACAAATGAATGTTATTGTTTACATGCTGTCAGCCATGATAAATACCAGGATTATAGGCACCTAAAAAAGAATAACTTTGGTATTTAGCTCAGCATTATTATAAATATTAACTTACCCGCCCCTGTGTTTATATATACTAATATATGTACACATTCATATATTTTACGTAATATATAATCTGTAGCTAATCAAATTTTATATTCTTACACATATAATTCATATATGAATTTTTATTCATATGAGTGTTGGATATATTTTTAATTTGGAAGAAATTAGGTATTTTGACTTGCTGTTAAGTGTTTTGGGCTGACTTTGTTTTTCTTTTAGAATTGAATTTTGTGTTTTATTTACATATACAGATATTAACAAATCGCATTTCTGAAAATGTAGTAGGTGTATTTTGATTTTTATATTAAAAAGTATTTTTAATTCTAACAAGTATTGATTGTGTTTTTATAAACAAATATACATAAACACATGTATCTGGTATACTGTGTTTTTTTTTTATATATAAGCATATTCTATATTAATACACATTTATAATCCATGTAACAGTTTTATAAATATGAGTATCTGATATTTTTTTCAAAAATGTTGACCCATTATTAAGCTTTTGGCATTATCTATTATTTATTTTTAATATGTAATTTTGTGTTTACCTTACAAATATAGACATTAATACATCTGACTTCAAAAACTGTAAAGGGAATACTATTTTCAATCAAAGGTATTTATATTTAGTGTTAGAGTGCATGGCTAAAGTGCAGAATCGTCCACTTATTTGTTTGGCGTTTTTTTACAAGAGTAAGAAGAATTGGATTTTTGTCAATTTTCTTTGACTTTTTAAAGGAAAATAGGTTGATGTGTACATGGATAAGTCAAGAGTGTGCGCAGTGCCATTTTTGTGCAATTCTGGGGTGTTTTTTAAGTGAAAATAGGTCGACGTGTACATGGATACCGCGTATGTGCAATTCTTAAAAACGCGCCAAGCAGTGGGCGATTCTGCGCTTTCACCGAGTGCATTAATGGGTTAGCAAATAAAAGAAAGGTTTATTTTTTAGTAAACATTGATTTTTATCTAATTTTTTCAAATTAAGGATTTTTAACTGTACTTTCTTAGAACTTCGTTATTATCTAAAGCTTATTATTTATCATAACAGTTTCTGTATCAAAGCATGATTCTGAATTTTTCAGAAAGGGAAATCTACTGTGTAGCAGATGTAAAATGTATGGGTAAATTAATAGTTGACATTTGTAACAATCTGCTACTTCATGTATATTTCACCGACTGGATTTTTTATGGAAAGAATGTGGTTATGTTTTATAGAAAAGTGCAAATTACTAATAAAAAGTTTTCAAATTTATGAAGAATTTCACAAAGGAGTAGTTTTTTTACAAGCAAAAAGCTACTCTTTTATGAGTTTCTTATTTAAAGGTCCTAGTTTGGCAGGTAGATTTTGATTTCGTAGGTATAAGAATGTTGTTATTTTTTAACATCATCATTAATTTGTAAAGTAGAACATGTTACTTCTTTTTACATGATACATTTTAAAATTTACAGTTGCAGTAATATTTTAAAATATTTACATTAAATCAATACTTTACCAGTATACTAATTGCTCCTGAAAACGTAGCACTTTAAAAAAAAACCAAGTTCTTAACACTTTAGTCTAAAATAATGTGACATCCCATATAGAAACTAGCATGACAAAATTGGTTGTCACAACATAAGAGACATGAAAAAGTAACAAATTTTGTAATGCATTGGATGGTGGAAAGTGAAATGTGAATGCAAAAACACAAGCATTATCAATTTTATTAATGAAACTCCATTTCTAGTTGCTGGTAGTTTTAACTTTTCCTGTTTTTTTTTTTTTTTTTTTTTTTTTTTTTGCCCACCAGCGGCCGAACGGTAAAATCGCTGAACACTGGTAGTTCGGTCCGAGGTTCGAATCCCACGAACGGGCTGGCTGCATGGGTGTTTTCGTGGTTTTCCCCATGTGTAACATGTGTACGAGCCAGTTTCCCTTAGAAAGTCCTCCACGAAGGCATCCCTCCCCTTGAGGCTTTGCCAGAATCACATACACACACACAAAAGTTTACAAAACATGCTCGATATGATGTCCACCATTGTCTGCTATCACCTGGAAGCGTAAAACCGCATGTTCGACTGTTGAAAGCAGCATGAATTGGGAAATGTTACGCGCATGGCGTTCTATGCTTTCTTTAAGGTGGGATAGAGATGTGATGGTATCACTGCAGACCATAGCCTTGAGGTATCACCCACAGCCAAAAGTCATAAGGCTTCAAGTCGGGGGATCTAGGAGGCCAAGCTGTAGGAAAATTACGGCTGATGATTCTGTCATCATCGAAATGACGGCGGAGCACTTAACTCACATAACGGGCGATGTGTGGAGGAACACCAACCTGCATAAACGCCTGTGGTTGTATCACATCGCCTTGCCTGAGGAGCCGGAATAACGGATTGCTCTAATAATGAAGCGTATCATTGACCGGGGACGGTGCATGTCGCAGGCCTTACAGTGCTGTGCTCTTCGGAAAAACGGACTCACAATGAAGGTTGCAGTAAAGCCGCATAAAACCGTTACATGCGAAGAGTGTAATGGAATTTCTAGGAATTGATCTGTTTTCGTAGCAGCTCAAATACGACAATTGTGCGTGTTAACTGCAACTACCATATAAATATGGGCCTCTTCGATCCACAAAATGTTCCATGGCCATTCATTCTGAAGCTTAACTCGCGCAAGAAACCGCAACGCAAAAGTTTGTTGACTATCCAATCCAGATCAGCTGAACTAGCGACAGTTTATAAGGATAGTAGCGTAAGACTGTTTGAAGAATCTTATGAATCGTGGAACGAGATTGGTCAACAAATGCTGCAGTACGCCGAACACTAGTGATGCCGAATGGTTTGCGATCTCTCTTCCTCCACTTGCGCTGCTAGATTATCCACTACCTGTTCTGCAACACACATTCGTCCCCTTCCCGGCTGAATCCCCAATGTTCCCGTTGCTTCAAATTTCCTAATCATGTTTGTTAGTCCTTGACTAGTAAGTGGACCTTTTCGTAACTGCTTCAAAGACCGAAATTTCTGCAAAGCTTCGGTAGCAGAGTCTCCGTTTTGGTAAGACAATTTCACCAGTAAAGCACATTCCTGAAGAGTCAACATCATCTCCCTTGACTTGGAAACGAGTATGACTGCGTCTTAGACTCTATAACTGACCGATCTGTTGCGAAGAGCAATGTTGCCGGTTCCAGAATTAAAGCCCAAGAGCACTTGACATAAAGAAATCCGGACATGGAGAAAATCTCAGATGAGAAAACGAAGAAAAGGGGAAGAAGATAAGTATCAAAAGGAGCAAGACAATCCAATCGGACATGTTCGAAAAACGTGACGAGCGATCATAGCTTTCAGGGAGAACCCAAGACAGTGCAAATCAATGACAACAATATAAGAAGATACACTACAGCAATGGTTCCAATGATAAATTCAAATACAACTAAACAACCTCAATCAATAGTCAGTATGACTGCGATTCTCCTCTGTCATCTTTTATAAGGTGGTTGTGCGCGCACAGGATTACGGTGGTTACCACAGTTGCGTATGGCAGTAGTTGCATATGGCAACTAGTTGCGTATGGCAATAGTTGCGTATGGCAACAAAAAAAGAAATTAAGGCTGGATAAATCCGGTGAGCGTGGGGGGCGTCTGATGGTGCAAACTTCGAGCATTCTGTTGTAACATAACTAAAATCACATTTATAACACTGTATTAAAAAACCTAGACCTAATGGGAATCAAAATGTTTTCTTTCGATTCTTCCTTTCCATTCTGCAGCGGGGGATAAGACTACTGAATGCAACAAGTTTGACGTGGTTTCGAATCTTGAGGTGCCTAGATGGATATTTTCATTTTTTTAGGAATGTATAATGAAATATGAATCAGTTTACAAAATCTTTCCTTCGTGGAAATTACTCTCGAATACTTTACTGAAATCTAGTTAACAAATAAATATCCTTTCCTGCTTCGAGCTTAAATTTCACTTTTCATTTAAATAAATGTGTTTCAAAATGAGCTCTAAATTTGTTAATTTACTCTAAATGCATTTCAAAAAACAGACTGACCTTTCACATTCGAGATGTAAGAAGTAGTAGAGACAACAATAACAGCAGATGGAATTCAAGATACAGGGAAACAGAAATAGAAATATTGTTACGAATTTGTATATCTGTACATAATTTTAAAGAAATCATATGTGAAACTAGTATGTTTTGTATGATGTAGCATGAAAAGTCTAAAGAGATTAAGCTCTGTCAGAAAAACAAGATTACAGCGGCATGTCTATTTCAAATTGAATAACTGTATTTTAATTGATCCCTATATGTAAGTATAACCGTATCCCGCCCTTATACGTAACTTTAACCGTATATGCCTTCCAGTAATTTCAAGATATGGAAGATACTAGAGATTTTTCGGCAGCTGGGATTAAAGCTATATAAGACTAAACAGAACATCAGCTCTCAGTTTTATTTTTTCACCTCACAGTCGCTCTTTCGAGTTTTGAGATATCTCTGTGTAAACTTATTTCTTTAGATGCACTTTGCATTTCGTTGTCTTTCATGTTCTTAGTAGTCTGAAGTATAACTACTGATTGTACTCCGTTGTACTGAAAAGAGCGGTAAGAATACTTTTTTGTGAAAAGTTCCAGAACTATAAAGTGTTTCTCTTGGTAAAACTAAGTTTTATTAAGCTATCATCGGTTTTGTGTGTATTAAATCTATTATGAATTCGTACGCAAGCAACATTTTTTGGTGTCAGAAGTAAGAATGGATGCCGGCGACAAGAGGGATGCAAGAGCAAGTGAGACAGGTGGTGGCAGCTTGTTGATCAAAGAATCGATTGTAGTTTCTGCTGCAGTCACCAAGGAAGTTGACACCTTAAGTAAATCCATAATTACAGCAGGAA